TTCTGTATTATATATTTATATATTTTATAGTATCCAGTAATTAATAACTCCGGGATTAGTTTTATAAGCTATTATCTTTATAAGAATTATAAGAAATAAGTATTCTAATATATTTTTAAGTAAACTATTAAACAGATACTGGATAAAGAATTATTATAAATATATAATTATTAGCAGTATTCCCATGAGTACTAATCTTGAAATTTTATTTTTAAATAAAATTCCTGGACTCTCTAGTAAATTAATATTATTAATATCTGTTATATTATCTCTAGGCTTCCACTATCTATAATAAAAGAAACTTTTTTAATTAAATCTTATATTTTTTTATTATCTACTACCTGCTGTTTTGTATTATTAAATATATTTAGTTTAAATAAATAATTAATTTTATTATTTTAATATTTTTCTGAATTCCTACTCTTTTCTATTAAATATAAATTAAAGAGTGTTTCTTAGAGCTGTCAGAGAAGATATATATTTAATTATTATTAAAATTTCCAGACAGCAGGCGGATGTTAATTATAATTAATTATTAGATTAATTTAGATTAAAAAATATTTCTTATTCTGACTGAATACTTTCTGACAGAGAATATAGATTATTATAAGATTCTATTAAGCTTTTAACTGGTATCTGGATTCTATACTAATAAAAATCTAGTTAAAATTATTTTAGAGATTCTGTAAAAGTACTATTTTACTTACCAGTTATTAAGAGTAACTACTGATAATACTAGTAATAATAATATTATATTCAGTATTATTATATTAGAATTCTAGATTTAACTTAGCTAGGACATTTATTTTTATAATATTATAATAAACTCTGAATTAAGACTATTAATAAAACTATTAAATATATATAAAAAATAATAATAAAAAACTGGAAATCTCTTCCAGTATCTTCTAGATAATTAAAAAGATATATAATAAAAATTATTTATAAAAAACTTTTATAAATAATTTTTATAATTTATTTAATATTTCTTATCTACTTTTCTGATTTTTAATTATAAATTTAAAAAATTATATATTTTATAAATATAAGTCTCTAATACTAGAAGAAATTTTAATTTATTTAATAATTAAAATCTACTTCAGTATATTATCTTTTTTTTAATTATAAAATTTAATAAAACTTAACTTATTTTATAATTTATTATATAATTAAACTATATCTAGTTATTAAGAGTTTTATTTAATATTAAAATTATAATAATATCAACCATCTTTATTCTACTATAATAGAATAAAAATAATTAAAATATTTATTTAAGTTTTTATATTTTTTTATCTTCTATTTATTAGAGAATAGTAGACCTGTAGTTTATAAAATCTATATTATTTATAATAATTTTTTCAACTATTTTAACTAATCTATTAATCAGCTAGTATAAAAATAAATATTTTAAAAAAAAATTCTCCAGGGTCTGGAAAATATATATTAAAAATTTTATAAATATTATTACTAGATTTATTAAATTAAAAATTATATTTATATAATTATAATAATTCTAGATTTTATATTAAAATTTAAAAATTTAAGAAGATGATAAGCTTAGAATAATTTTTTATATTAATAAAAATTAAAATATAGATAATCTTAATAATAATTCTAAAAATAAAATATTATTAAAAAGAAAAGATTAAATTTTTTTTTAATTTAATAATATTACATATATCCAGGTACAGATAAATACTTAAATTATATAATTTATTTTATTATAACCACCAACCAGGATAATATAAAAAATAATTTAAATAATAATTTATATATTTTTCTTTAGTAATCTAATCTAATTATATTCAGATTTCTAATATTATTTATATAGATTTAATATAGAAGTTACTGAATTACTAGACTATTAACTACTGGCTGCTATTATTAGCTAAAAAATAAAATTATTAATTAATAATTAATTTAATTAATATCTGTTTTAATAATACAGTAATTAAAAATATATTACTATTAGTATATTATTTTTATAAAATCTCTGTATAAATTACTAATTAATCTATAATTATTAACTTTTTAAATATATTTAATTTTTCTAATTTACAGTTAAGATCAGTTAAAGTAATCTCTTAATCTTAATCTACTCTTAATTATATGATTAAGAAGATTCTAATATCTTAATCTAACCATCAGGTTACAGTTAAGGTTAGGTTAAGGTATAACAGTCAGGTATAACCACTCTATATAAGAGTGATAACTATAAAATCATTAATATTACTAATCTTAAAATAAAAAATCTGAGTATATATTATAAAAATTAAACTAGAGCAGACTTTTATATTAAATTAATTTATCTGGTACTAATATACTATAATAAAGATCTATATAAAATTAATAAATTTAAAATACTAGTAAGAATAAAAAGAGAGTACCTACAGTTTATTCCAGATAAATTAGAATATATATATCTATGATTACTTAGCTGTGATTTTTACTATCTAATATCTTGGAATTATTAATATAATTAATTATTACAATAATAAGAAATAGCTGATAAAAATTAAAAACAATAAAGTAAAGCTATAGTATTATTCCTGATAGAAAAGTCTATTAATATATATAGAATATAGATTGAAGTATTTAATATCTTCCTGATCTTATCTTTTAAGCTATCTCTATTTTTATCTTTATAAACTGTATCTGTTAATCAGTATTAAGCTCCGGAATATCCCTGATATTCAGTATCTTTGAGTAGCTAGTCTGAAGAACTGGTAATATTCAAATAAAAAAATTCTAGTCCTAGAATCTAAAAGTTCCTTTTGGAGTAAACTTCTGATAAAATAGCCATAGAAATCAGAATTTATGTATTGATTCTGTGACTAGTACTGTAAGAATATAAATAAATATTATAATTTATATTACTTAATTAATTTTATTAGCTGTAGGAAATCTGCTACAGTATATAAAATTATAATGGTACTAAAAATAATTGTACAGAGCAATAAATTACCAGTAGATCAGATAGTTTTATTAAATACTGGTCCTCTAGAAAGGACAGCACCATTACTGTACCTATAATAATAATACTTATAATTCCGGATACCAGTCCTACACTGGTATGAAGATCAGGGTCCTCTACCTACAGAGCCATATATAATACATACAAAACTAATAACACAGCTAGCAGAGCCTATTATCTTGACATTAGTCAAGAATAAATGTCCCTGACTGTTATGTTTAGGTTCATTTGTGATGAACACACCAATTTCGCCATTGCCAGTCGGAACAAGCCCAGTTTAACCTGGGCAGTGCGAAGGAAATACAGTCGTTGGGGAACCAGAACCAGGAACAGGGCCGCTGGGAGCAATCCAAAGAAACCATCCTCAAACAGTAGTGTGAAATCAAATGGACAACAGTTGGGGTTAATACAAGGACCGAAGACATTGTCACTGTCTGACAGGCATTCCATGGTGACTGATGATATCATAGTGGAGAAGGGACGAATTGACGGGGATGATGGGGGTGGTGACCTGGATGGTCCCGGGCTACTTACTATAAATACTGGATGGGGTAAGAACCAGGCATCCCCCCCCCCCCCAATCATCCAATAGAGTGGGGCATCCTTATCTGAGCATTTGTTTTACTCCCGGTACCCCTGGCCACTAGGTTAGAACTATCATCACTCACCCTGGCTATTTATCAGACATTTGGTGGAACAACGTCCGTACGGGTCAAGAGTGACAGGATGCTATCTAGGGGAATGGTAGAGGCACAGACAGGCGCTAAGCACTCACAAGCATAGCCAAGCTTGAGCCATCTTCCCCCACTCAGTAAACCGCTGGCCTGGGCACTTTATCTACTACTGATACCTACTTGCCAAGCTTAATATGATCATGATAGGTATCAATAATAAGCATACACCGACTGATGGTACGGAACTTCCTCTTACACATTGAGTATGAAAATATTGGACACTCCACACCTCGAAGGTAACGACCCTGATGGTTGATACCGAGCTAGCTTTTGTTCTCCTCCATCATGAAAAGGAGCGGATTTCGCTTTGTTGAATTGATCCTCACGGTTGACACCTAGGCTGAATAATCGGAAATCGAGCGTTCCGTTAGGCTCGGAGTAAAGGCGACCGGGTCCCTGATTCCCTACTCCGTACATGCTTACGGATTACCCCGCAGATGCAGCAAAAGGATCGCGGGTCATCGGTGTGATACCCGCCGTGGTATAGTTTTTGGTTCAGAGTCGGGTTTACCCTGGAGTCAAATCATAACGAGGGAATTCATACCCATTAGGTACATACACCGTCGGCTGTCCGGACGGAGAATGCTTCATATGCCGTTTGCGTTCTAGCGCCGTCTCAGTTCCCTACAGTCCATGCGAATGTCAGCCCCCCGATACCCCTGTCCGAATGGATCTGGAGATATTGTTGGTGATTACCATTGGCAGCGATCATGGCACGAGCGGCAGGCCCTGCAGGAAACTAAGATTTTTGGTCGGTGACAGCCGTCGTGGTTTCTTTCCGCGTGCATGAAGCCAGCGCTAATAGCGAGACGATGTCACATTACTGCATGATGGCGATAGAGGCTCGATTTCAAGCAAACATTATTGGGGGAGACATATAGCCTAGGCAGATAAGGCAGGATAGTAGGTGGTCTTCGTGGCTCATGCGGTCATTTAAGCGTGTTTGTCGTAATGCATCCAGAAGTTCATCGAACTTGAGCTGCGAGAGCTCTGTTCTTCGATGGCTGTTCTTGTGGGACATGTGAGTTCGTAGATTAATCAACCCCCTCCCCCCTTTTCCGGGGAAAATACTGAAGGCTCTTATAGTTATAGGGGGAACAGCTATATGCACACAACCACTAGGTCCTTCGGCTTCCGGATTCCATCGAAACAATGAATGCAGAAATAGATGCACAGGTGGCAATTGAGGCCCTCCATCGTAGGAGAGTCCAGAATCGTCTTGCACAGAGAAACCGTCGTATGTCCCACGCTTGTGATTCTCTGGCTTAGAAATTCCGATCCCTTTCAAAATGACTAATGACACTGGATATGAAGGCAAACGACAAGCTGAGCTAGAACAGTTGCGAATGCAAAATTTGGCCAATAAACAGCAAGAACGCCCCGAGGAGAGGCGGAATGAGGAGACTATGGCCGCCGACAACAAGTCGGGTCAAAGCTGTCCACCAACGGTGGGAGACGGTGTGACTGGTGAACAAACAAATACAACAGCGGGGTCTGATATGTCAGTTGATTCAACTATTGGAATGCACAACTCCCCGGTTGAACCCCTAGCGGTAATTGCACCTGACAAGTTGTCATGGCATCAAGATGGATATGTCGGTGGAGGCTTGGATTTGAGCCCAAGCACGTTGACTGGGTATGATAAGATGAATGATTCAATCACAACCTTTCTCCTTGACCCGGAATTGGATCTGCCACGGGATAGCAGCACGCCCAAGTTAACCTCTATTAATCCCACGTCCGCCAGCACCCCTCAAGCCCGCAGCAATCCACTTCTGCACCAGGAGAGCGCTATACGAACCACACGATCAAAATTCGAAGTCCACCAGAGAGTCTGTAAGGCTCAGGCGACAAATTGCGGAGTGATTCGACATCAGTGTAAGGAAGGGCTGCCCACTGTTCGAATGAACGTTCCCACGAACCTGTCGGCCATGATGGAGATATGGGACAATGGCAGCCTGCTACACAAATACAGCTCAGAAAGCCAGGGCAAGACAGCCCTCCACATAAGTGCCGAGCGTGGCGACGTTGGAATTGTGCAGTTTCTCCTTATTCAAGGGGTAGACGTCAATTGCGCAGACGGGTGGGGACGTACTGCATTGCATTATGCGGTACGAGCTGCGCATGTTGATATTGTCACGCAGTTGCTTGCAGCGGGCGCCGAAATCGGGGCTCGCGATCATCATGGCCAAAGCCCACTGCATGTCGCAGTGGATGTGGGTTCCGAGGTGATCGTGCGACTGCTAGCAGACGAGGGCGCAGACCTCAATGCCCCCATCGATATCCCAAACCATATACGTGAGGGAGCGTGATATCTTCGTGTGAGGATCCTTCAGGCTGAATGCGCTTCTATGTTTCTTTGGGAACGATATACTTTCCTATAGCCCGAGAGGAAGCACAATGGACATCGTGATATTGACTTGCAAATATCTAATCAGATTGAGATGAATGGCTTTTCATGACTAGCTACATTAGAAACTCCAGTTCCTTATGTAGGCAAAGACGCACCGTGAATTACACATTGACATCTTTCTGACTACCAACAAGCCAAAGAGAGTAAGTTAGTGAACTACGATGACTTCGCTGCTACAGAAGCTAGTACTATATATTCAACGGCGGCAGATGGCGTAGTGGTACTAGGACCTCACCACACAAACCTTCATACTACGGAAAAAAAAAAAAAAAAAAAAAGACTGATTGGGTATTGAGAACAAGTATAATATATAATGGAGGTTTTGAAAGAAATACAAAGTCATAATAACTAGTAGTTAGACTGAGAAAGGGCCCTCTGAAAGGGCGCGCTAGTCGAGTATAAGGCAACCATCATCATCATATTATCTAGTTAGAATGGGGCAATGTTTTCAGACTGTCAATATTGAGGACGTGGGTAGAATTAACGTTTATGATTGTATAGTAGAGACTGTTCAGCACCTAGATGCTATTTTTCTAGGCTCAGAGAGTTGTTCTTTTGTTACAGTATCTTTAATGTTCAGCAGAGACTAATAGGGATAAGTACAACCGGGGCATATACTAGTAAGAAACCCGCCCCCCCCCCAACAAGAAGTAACCGTGCAACGGTAAAATTAACGGATCAGGAGAGGATGATAAAGAGTAGAGTAGTCTACATGTATATCCGCAGAGGATGACTTATATAGCAGAGCCGGTGATAGTGGACTCATGAATGCTAGGACTAGTACTACCGCTGTTGCTTGTAACACACTCCCATGGGCTTTATTAAATCCCCACTGATGTAGGGACGAAAGATGCTTGATCCCCGAACTCAACGCAGTCAATCCAGTCCTTTTTACAAACACCCATGAAGCATTCCAGAGGGTACCTGTCAAGCAATCTCCCCGGATTCGTAGTCACCGACATCCTCGTGGTCAAGAAACCATCCGTGAATTTCCTTGAACTTATGCGTCATCACACGGTAGGGGTATCCGTCCGGCCGTCTAAGGGCGACAAAGTCGTCCTCATCCAAGGCATTCCGCCGCTGCCAATCCAAGATGGTGTCGTAACTCTTGCACTGGTGTTGAATGTTGAAGTCCGGCCATGCATGGTCCAGGGTATCGGTCCAGATATGCGTGTAGACATCTGTGTTGGCCGAGCACATGATATTCTGGGCCAGGAGCCACACGCAGTGCGACAGGTGCAGCCGATGCATCTCGGAGGTGGTATTGAGACCGCCGGGGTATTTGGCGCCGTAGTAGTGGCCGAAGTATGCCTCGCGCCGCAGGGCATCGAGACAATGCATTTGATGGAAGGCGTCGATGCGGCCGAAGTAGCTGTCGTTGCCGCGACCCCAGCTGGGCGGGATGCGGACGGCCTCCGCCGGATCCTTGCCCATCGCCAGGACCTGGCTGCGAGTCAGCGCAATTGGTCGGGTATCATACAAGGCGGCCCAGGCGCGATCGATTTCGATGCTGGGTTCCTGGCGGTAGATGGTGGGGGGATCCCTGTTGAGGAGGGTGGCGTCCATCCGCTGCGGTGCGACCCGTATGTCCACTTCGTCCAGGATCGGGGCTATGAGTTTTCTGGTGCATTAGGGAACAGTGGCTAGGAGTGGCTGGTGACGAAGTTCTACTCACACGGCATGGAGACCTGTTGAAGGCAGTAGTTTCGCTGTGTATCCTCTCCGCGCTCCTTGTACAGTGGGGGAGACGGCGATAGGGATAGCGTGAACATTAGGCTTGATATCAGGAAGAATCCCAGGTTGAGCCATAGAAGGCGTACCGGATCAAGCAAACGTCGTGTGTTGTTGGAGTCTGGAGCAAAGACATCCCCCTCACAGTTGCATTCAACAATCCCGTCTTTTTCGGAAACCAGATGATGAACTTCACCGGAATTTGGCAGAGTTGTGTACAACTGCACAGTGGCTCGGAAAATAGGAGCAGCCCTTGTGGCAATCCATGACTGCAATCTAGTACGCAGTGACTTTCCTTCGGCCATTATGTGTCTTTGGGATTTATGGTGATGTTCTGTAGGTGATGGGGCTGTGTAAGACTACAATGTGCTTTCAGACCACAACAACCCCTCCCCCAACACATTTTCAGACCTCACACGGCCGAGAGTTCTTACTCAGATGTCTTTGTGAAGATAGGCTAATTGAATGATGACAGTGACTTGTGGGTCTGGCTGGTATGACTGTCAGCACACCACCCAGCATGTCAGCATGACATTTTGCCAGACGATTGGCACACAACATGTGCAATGAGACCTTCGTTCCCAACTCTACATCCTAATTCTAACCAGCGTTACCCTGGAACAGGTAGTATGATGGACGGCAAAAGACACAGTTATCACTTTTGGCTCCTGCTTGGCCTCACTGTCACGTTCCTGGGAGCCCTTGCGGTATCCTTTCTCCGCATGAACAACAGTGCCGACTTTTGGATTCCATGGCTAAGGGTATCACATATATCATGCGATTCAGGAGCTCTTGGTCCCTATTTAGAGACATTTTCCTATCATCGATCTGAATCAGAGGTGGCGTCTCCGGATCCCTTCTCTGCCAATTGGATGGACAGCAGTAGTACTGGGTTCGTTCAGATACACGAGGCCGGTGGGAAGACAAAGCACTACGGGGTGTCGATGTTTCATCAACTGCACTGTCTAGAAAGCCTGAAGATGGCCCTTAAGCACGAGTCGCACCATACAAGGTACTGGGAGAGAAGAGGGGAGGGCGAGGGCGAGGGCGAGGGCGAGGATCATTTAGAGCATTGCCTTCAGTATCTCGAGCAGGTAAGATACTATCACATATTACGCACTTGCATATCTTGTGCTGAAATCTGCCCTTCACAAGGCGATTATGTGCGCAGCAGATGACACCATCGAGCCATCCTTTGTCGCTGAGTTACCCACGGGTGAAAAGGCTCGAATTATCAATGGCGACGGCGTTGTGCATCGGTGTAGAAATTTTGACGAGGTCCAACAAGCTATGATACTCAGCGAAAAAAATCCGTTAGTTTTGCAGAGACGATTAGGGGAAGGAGATACGTTGCGTATGATTATGGATTCGGTGCGTTGACCTCCAGCTGGGAGGAACACATGCGACGGCATTAACCACGCCCTATGTATCTCAGTATTCGAACACATAGATGAGGGCTGTGTTTGATGAGCATGGATTTCACATACATAAGTAGAATATCACCCACCGCTTGGACAATACATCTACTGTTCGATATCTATTATGAGATGGAAAGCGCAACAAACTTCTTTGATGGCGACGGCCAATATTACGCATCCTAGGACATGGAACTATATGAAGCAAAGACAAATCGGGTAAATACAGGAAAGATCCATGATCACCCCGTCTATCATCAAAAGGAAAGTACCTCCACAGAGAAACACTCCAATATATTGAACAGCTTCCTTCTTACAGACCACTTGCTGCGGTCTTTTCCCTAGCGGCCTTTGCTTCCTCGGGATGCTCCCGCCAGTATGTGAAGAATGTATTGCCCGGAAATTCCATATACTGGTCATCAATGCTCTCCCACGGCGCATTGTCAAATCCCGATTCCCGCATAATCTCTTCCGCTTGCTCCGCGGTGACATTGTAATTCCAGTAGCTGGCCTTGTGTTCCTTGGCCCATTCCTGGATCTTGGTAAAGTTTCGACAGGTATGCGTGGTTGCCAATCGTGGCACAATGACCTTACTTGCTGGGAAGTTGACCCGGAAGGGAATTGGAGCAACGTCTGCGTGGCACATGAGGGTTTCCCTGATGGAGTCAACACAGTGATCTAGCAATAGATAATTAGCTAGGGGTCAAAAATGTTTCCGCAAACGCTTGTACGGGATGACTCTCACCCCAATGACGGAATTCGATGCTTTCACGGTCGATGACACCTTTGTCATTCGTCACGCCCGCCAGCCCTGGAAACCGTTCGGGGTATAGTAGCATTCGCAAGTCGTTGAGGCAATGCAGCTCGTGCCATACATCAAGCTGTACGAGATATTCGTCGGTTCCAGGAACCTTTAGCGTTGGATGGGGAAGCATCCTCGCCTCATGTTCTGGAATCTTGGAGATTCCGACTTTGATCGGTGTCAGGTATTTTCATCCCCGAGCTCAGCAAGGCCAGCACTTACAGTTATATAGCTCCTGCCACAGGCGGTCCGTTTCGTCGGTCGGAAATCCCATGTATGGGGTCTTCTCAAAGAGCGCAGCACGAAATTTGTGTTGCTTGATATACTCGATGGCCTCGTTGGCAGGTGCTGAATGAGGCAACCTGGGTCAACCATTGGTTTATGATAGCAACATATGAGAACGTACAGTATACTCCGATGGTGGGATCCTGGAAAGGTCGATGCGATAGACTTCCAACCAATGCGGCGATAATCAGTAATAGAATGGCGTTGGACACATAGAGGGTGACAATATGAGCTCTCGAGTATATTCTAAATCGTGGCGGTTGCTTGGTATAGTAAGATTCGATGAGGCTTTCCTTTTCATGGTGACGGATGGAATCGATAGAGGTCTCTGTGGATGATCGCTCGGGCATCATGGCAGAGTACGGAAGACGAGTTGAAAGGGGAGAAGCCTTCAGGGCGCAATCAGCAGGGAAGTTTGTGGGTTCTCGTGGATGCCAAAGACTCGCATGCCCGCAGGTCAGCACATTCCTGAACATGGCGCCTGTCATCCGTGTTCTGACAGCAGCCACTTGATGTGTGCTGACAGTCGTAATCCTATCTGCTGTGAGAGGTCTATCCATATAATCGTGTTCTCCCTCGCCTACCAAGGGAAATATCATTCGCATTGCATCGAACAAACTGAGTTCTGTCTTGAAGTATCATTCACGGTCTCGGACTCTATATATCTTGATAACCGTACAATCCACAATGAAGATCGCTGCCGTTCTTACCCTGGCCATTGCCACTGTTCTCGCACTGCCCGTTGGTATGATCCCACCCGATAGGTATCGAGATTCCGATTATATAAACTAAGAATTGCTAGCCGATGACTCCACTGCGTTGGAGAAACGCTGTGGCACCGGCAAGCGCGACGAAATTAACGTCGCAGTTCGGTCCGCCGTGAACACTGTCAAGCACAAGCGAGAGCTCACGGAGATCGATGTGGATGAGATTTCCGCCGCCCTCTACTCGTCTTGGTGCACTCCATGAGTGCTCAATCTAGTCACCATTGACTGGGCTGCCTTGCAGATGTTTGCGGAAGAAGGATTGGGGAGCCTATGGTCACGGACCTCATGATTTGAACAAGAGATTGAGTGGGGATCTGGAGTGGGAGGGGGTCGGAACATTGGGAATCCGGATGCGCCAGTTACCTACCATCTTTGCGAGGCGATTAGAAGCTGCAGGCATCAATATAACAGGGTGGTAGTTGAACGATTTCCGTTGGTCGTATCTTCTTTGGTCTTTTCGCCTCCTGACGAAATTATTTGCATCTCCTCCAAGTCGGAGATCACGTAGAAACGCACAAAGGTACTTCCGGCACATGATACCATTACTGATGATCTGTTATAAATTTCAGACTGGTCTCTGTCCTTTGTGGCTTTCCTCTGTGGGTTCACCTTTGTGTATATGCCGTCCAGGTTATATCACCCTTTTTGATTTGCCCTTTCTCGCGTGCCTTGATTTTATGCATTTACGTTGGGGTTGAAATGTTGGATGTATCAATCAGATAGAAAGTCATGGGAGGGTACCACTGCAAGACATCAGGCTTAATTCTACACTATGGGTTCTGGGGACTGTTCAACAATCTCCAGGTCTCCAGTCCATTCAACCCATCCCACTTGCGGCATTGATGTGTAGTTCCATATCCACTTAGAGTTCTTTTCCCTGGATCTGGGCCCTCGAGTGTTGCATCCCCGGCGCAGAGGATCGCTTGCCGCAGATAATCAACGCAATGCTCCATGTGGCGTACCGACTCCGAGTCCTCCGCGTGATTCTGTTGTCCATTTCCACCCGGAAAATGTAGAGTCGCCACGTGAAGCTGTTTCAGACAATGCAGTTGGTGATGCACGCTAAGCATGTAGACATTCGCCGTCCCTGCCAGGACATCTTTATTCGGTGGTAAGGAATATAGCTCTGGCCTTTGCACATGCACAAATGCCGTCGTTTCTGGTGCCGTTGTGCCATTAGATTCAGGGAGGGTGCGAGATATAGAATGATGTAACAGGTAATAATAAATGAACGCATACCGTAGGCACCCCAGGCAGCCTCCACTTCAGCAACGCTCGTCAGGTTAGTCATGGTGGCAGTTCGGGTGAAGTTGCGGGAAATCCATGGTACTGATGATAGGAATCAGTTCCGGGCGAGGCAACGAAAGTGAATTCTCACACTTACTCGGCGGAACGGGGGATGCTGGCCAAGGCTGGGACGCATCCGAGTACGATCTCACTAGAAAGAGAATTGTCGAGGCTTCCAACAAACATATTCCAAGTAGGCTAAAAAAAGCAAATGGATGAAAATACTGAAGTGCCGAGGTGATCTTGTAACTGGTTGAAGTCGTCAAGTTAGGGTTTTGGAATGGGCGCTTTCGCGAATTGGCATTCGGCTCATCCCCTGCAACAAGTTCATATGACGGTTCCATATCGAGATATCCACAACGTTGGTACACACACACACACAGAGAGAGAGAGAGAAAGCCAACCGATCACAACTGGACTCAAGTCAAATCAAGTGAAAAAAAAGCTCGGATCAGGCCCGTACTGTATTTCACTCCTTTGGGTTAGCCTTGTCAGCACACAGTGCGTCATTTTGCGATGTTCTAATTGGACCACCAGATACACATAAATCAACAGATTTGAGTCCCAACCCCGCAATCTGATAGCAACCCAAATCGCTACACTGTCTCTGCATATTATCTTTACATACCACGAACACGAGGTATTTACACCTCCATCCTTGCATTGAAATATGGCTGCTGCGGTTTCATCACAATTCCGCTACTCCACTGGGGCCGTTGCGACATCCGAGACCGCTAAGGCATTCTCATGGGAGGCCCCGGTGCCTGTCAATACATTCTGGGATAGCTTTGAATACTCCGTCGCTCGTAACTTTCTGGCCAATTTCTCCGATGCTGAGCTTACACAGCTGCCCATTGACGAGGCAAGTTCCGATGACCACCGAATCAAGCTGCAGCTCCTCCTACGGCTGCTCCAAGAGAAACTAGAGCAGGAGGAGGCAGCTACGTCGCCTCCGCAGTCTCTCTACACAACCGATTACCTGCGCTGGTACCAGTTGTGGCAGGGGATCTATTGTCTTCAAGATAAATTGGATCTTCCCGAGGCCGAACAGACCGTTCGGATGCTGGTGGAAAAGAGGACCGACGAATCAAATGTGGTGCCACTGCACATGCTCGCAGACCACCTGGTGAAGATTAGGAAGTACCAGGAAGCAGAGGAAATTGAAAGGCCGGTTTGCACATGGATGGATTCACAGCCGCACTTGGGACCATCTTCTCCACAAGCCATCAACGCTCGCCGGATCATTGCCCAAGCCTTGTGGGGGCAGGGACCATCAAGGCGCTCGGAAGCCGAAGCCCTGGTGGCCGAAATCCATCGGCTCGTGGACACGATGGATGGAGGGAAGTTTGGTGTTTATCAGGCTGAAGAGGAAAAGCTCAACGAGGAGCTTGTGGCCAAGCTCCACATCTCCTGACCTGGTTTGATCTTGTGTCGCGGCTTGTAAGCCCGACCATCTGTAGACAATGACGTTGAAGTGAGGCTTCTCTATCGTGTGGGTAGCTGCTAGATATGAATCAGAAATGGTTCTCTGCTCTACACAGACCCCACCATCTTCTACTCGATTTTTACTCTAGAAATCTAAGTAACGCTTCTTTATAATCTTGTCTTAACATGTACACCTGCAGTGTTACGGTGTGCTAGATACCATAGGAACCTCCCCACCACAAATTGTTCATTGTGGCGGCCCCCACGCCATTTTCTTTCGTCCACTGGTTTATGCTGTCGAAATTCCGACAATAATGAAGTGTTCCAAAGTCAAATGACACATCTCTAAATAGCTCCGTCTCGGAGGTTGTTTCGCCGTTATAATAAAGAGTGACGGCTCCGACATCACCCCAACACTGGCGATTGGTACGAAGTTAGCCAAAAGTCCAAATCCAGGCGTTGGAAGTCCTTACCATGATAGCATGACGCAGTCGCTCGATACACTGGTATGCTCTATCCCATACCAGGGAATTCTCACCTTGAAACGAGGGGAGATGAGTGAAGTTGTCGTCAGAACGATAGCCGAGCTGCCGGAGAAAATTTAAGCAGCCTAACTGCACAGCATACTCAGGGAGTGCAAGGATAGCACTCGCATCACCGGGGTCCCGAACCCAGGCAGGATCATCTGCTGAATCTAACTGTCCAAGGCTCTGCAGCCGGTCTGCAGGGATCGAAATTGGGTGCTCTGAAATCGATATCAGCTATGTCCCTTTGTTTTCTTTTCTTTTCTTTTCTTTCTTCCTTTTTTTTTTTTTTTTTTTTTTTTTGCACGCTGGTCTTTCTCCGGGGAACTGGAGGATGAGCCAGGTGACAGGGCAGAGAATCAAACGCACGTGGAAGTAACTCATTCCACGCATCCTCAATCTCTTGAGTTGGGCGGAAGCTAAAATATGAAGTCTTTATGGAAAATTGGTGGTTTTCGAACGTTTCCCAGTGGTACTTGATAATATCCAGCGCCGGCGACCAAGGGTAGGTGAGCTTGTCACAGCTCGCCTCACTTGGCTCAATATGCAAAGCCTTCAAGACGATCAGAGCGGCACAGACAAGTAAAAGAGCACAAGCCAGCAATGAACAGAGAAATTGAATATTTTTGCAGCCTTGGATGAACATGATTGGTTCTGTCGTGGGACATCAATATTGCTGGCTGGCCTGCAACTTGACCATTCAATCGTAGTTCATGATAGTAAGACACTGAAATGTAGTGAAGCGATGTCGAGGCGGGCACGTTCTGGGAGCGTCTCGGGAAGCTTCCATGAAGTGTTTGTGTGCTGACAGGGGCGATCTCGAAGGCTTACCAGGTCGCCCGTGTCATGTCCACACTAAAATGTCCTGCTGACGCCAGCACCCACTGCAAGTACCTTGAGCCTTTGGCCTGTTCTGTTGTAGCCCTGACACTTAGCATGCAGTTCTCTCTTCGTCTATTCTACTGGAATGATTCTTCACCTCGGTACTGGGTAGATTGAATCACTCTCAGACAAAGTCGTTCAAATGTTCAAGTATAACACCCTGACGCCCGAAAAGGACGAGGAAACCCATGATGCCACAAGCAATTCTTTGAGCACAGAGGAAGAGGGCATTATTCCTCTGCTGGACGAGAACGCCGAGAATCAGCGGGCGCATGATGGGATACCAACTACTCGTGTCTCAAGCTATTCTTTTGTAGTTCTACTTGTCGGTGTCGTGTCCTTCATCTTCTCGGTGCTGTTCTACGCCGTTCGACACTCCTACGCAGCAACAGACTCTTCATGTCAACGACGAATGTGGGCTTACAGTAAGCTACTCGCATCCCACTAGGATGAATACCAGCTGACGGGAAACTCAGGCCCGGAATCGGACTTTTTGCAGTACGAATCGCGACAGTATGATTCAGATTTAATCTCTCACGATTTCGTGGGCGTACCTACCCAGAGCCGTCGGGACGCGTGGGATACACTGTGGAAAAGTAAGTTTGGTTCCAGCCTTCAGCCTAGCAAGTACGAAATTTGAATTGTGTCTGACAATTAACGGTATCAAAGCCGGACGATTTAGCTTTCCGTACGACAAATTGCCCGCCATAAACAAATCAACAGAGGAACGCGAGTGGTGGAGTCTGCCTCCACCGCGTGAGCAAGAAGTGATCGCAATGTCTGAAGGTCGGTGTCGCCTGCAACCCCCCCTTTCATGCTCATTACGCTTTAGATAGGTTCTGACTGCATAGCAGCAATGCATCAGGTCCACTGCGTTGGCGTACTTTGGTTCTTTGTGCATCGGAATGAATGGGATTACCGCACAGCCATCAATAAGACGGAAGAATTCATGCAGATTCATTCTCGCCACTGTAGTGTCATGCTGATGAACTTGATCAAGTGTATGGCCGATGTCACCCCAGTACTCTTTCAAAAGGACACCGGGAATGTCATTTCGGGAACCGGGTTGGGGGCTTGGAAACCGCGAGATGCGCCCCGTCGATGTAAGAGATTTGACAAGATCTGGGATTGGGAGCGCAAAAACAGCATCTGCCCTATGGGGTGTGTACCCGAAGATATAGCACGTCTCTATCCTGGGACTGCCTAAACCTGTGAAGAAAGGCCTTTGTCAACGTCATGCTTCGTGATGGACATGTTTCCGTCTAAGAGTAGTCCGTCCGGCGTTAGCAAAAAAAAAAAAAAGGCCACTTGCGATCAGTTCCACCAACATCCAGCCCCTTCCTCCATCCTCCCGATCTTCGCAACTTTTCCTGTTGCTTGATGCTTCTCCTTTCTCTGTGGCTATTATCCTCAAGCGACACTGCTACTGACAGTCACCCTCCTGTTCCCCGCCTCTTCCACTGATCTAATATTGAGAGTAGCGCACCCTTTCTTTCCCCGGAGGAAGCGCATCTATCTTCACCATGAGAAGCCGGTTATACACATGATAAGAATTAACCCAAACCAGAGCCACGCTGGTAGCAGGCAACCTTTGTTCACCACCTTTAAAAAATATTGACAAGAAAAAAATCCAAAGCCAGAGGAGACTATGGATGTTCTGATCCGCAGTTAAATTACCTATAGTTCGCTGCACAGGCCGTCTCCCGCTCTGGATACAGTCTCTATTTCTTGCCAGTTACATATCCTTATTTCCCAAACTCCCAGCAGTGGCGTGGTGGTTTACCGAGTGTTATAGCAGTAATATATATTATAATATGGTTAATCAACGAACCTCTTACTTCAAATCCTTATCAGTTGGTTGACGTGATGCCGACAACAGCTTAACAAGTGCAGGCGTGGTTGGATATGTTATTATATAAGATCAGATGACTGATTCCGCTTGTGCTCCTGCAGTTTCTTTCTTTATTAATTATTCCAGCCCCCTGTTTATCTCTGTAATACTAATATTCATCTGTTTGCCTCGTCTTCAAGCATACTAAGCTAGGATTGGTCCAAATGTCTTTATACTATTATATCAGGACTCTGCTTTTCTCACATGTATCAGCTGGTAGTTACTACACTGTTACTACACCAGTTCTTACTGCAGACCGTGATCAGCAATAACTGTATATTTGAGATAGAAAACATCCACACGGTTCATGTCCTGCGCTAAGCCAGTTAATTTTAATCTAAATAACCACCCTAACGCCCCAGAATCGCAATGCAGCAGGCAATGGATTTCAAAACACAGGCTGAATAAGTGATATGAGTTTAATAAAAAGGTTCTGTATATTAGAAACTGTCAGCCTGCTCTCCCCGTCTCTGATTTTTTTTAGACTTCCCGCCTGGAAAAGTGTACAGCCTTGGTAGATAAGCTTCTGAATATCTGTATTTTACTTTGATTATTATAATAACCAACATGGAAAGTTATATTATTTATCAGAATAATTTCTATCTTAGTAATAAAGTAGAGTATAGCAAGATATAGAATAACTAATATACTTACTGTCCCCACAGGTCCTACTATCCTGGCTTACAGTATTTAATTATAAATAATATCTACTGCCTGAACTGGACTAACTGTACAACCAATATTAATTTATTAATATGTATTAACAGCACCTGGGATATATATAACTATACTAGATATTTCTATTATTCTAAAAATCAGAGCGGCTTCATACTAAAGAAAACAGATTAAATAGATTGTTTAAACTTTAACTTCCCGGAAAATGCCAGTTATAACATACTTAAATTAATTAATTATAGTATTATTTATTCAACCGTGATATTAATAAATAATACTGATATTTACTGACTGCTAGTTATTTTAATTACAAGTATAATATTAACACCAATATTAATATCTATTTTGAATATTATAGTAATAATAATATTATTTACTACCTCAGCTCTAAATTCAGATAATTTATTATATATTAACACAGGTACTATAGCAGGTGGTATAATAAATAATATTATTAAAGTAGCTGTAATCACTGTACTTTTTTTTTTATAAGATATTCAAGAAAGCCAGTACTGCAGTCCCTGCCGCAGGGCCTGAGTTAATAATATTTATAATATAGTTACAGTACAGAACCATTATCAACTTTAAGTAAGTTAGATAGCTATCCAGTACCAGCAGAGCTGATATTATTAATTAAACTAAAATATAAGTTATCTAGAAGCTACTAATATACTTAATTAATAATATATCTTATATAATATACCCACTAGCTATCAGATTATTTATATTTCTTAATTAGGGGAGGTCGCTCGCCGCAGGATTAATTATAAAATTAAATTAAGTATTTAATAATAGAGAATACTGTCTGTTTACTAAGAGTAAAACTAGATTCCAGGATTAATAGCTGATTTAAAGAAAGATCTTTTTAGTTGGAATAATTTTTAAAATATTATTAGTAAACAAAGTTATCTTTAATAACTATACATCAGGGAAGCTGGCTTCCGAAATTTATTTTATAATTATATCTTATCAGCACATGAAATTATACTGTAATATAATATTGAATTTTTATTTTATTCCTTTACTTAGCTTTATTATAATAGAGCTTGCTCTTTAAACCTGGATAGCAGTATAATATTATCTAAATATTATATTTTCAAAGATCTTTTACTACGTAGGGAGACCTCTGCCTAGGCTGGAGAGGATTCCATAGATTCTATAGATTAGTAGTTGCAAGATTTTACCTCGGGTACTATATTATCTTTTTTATAATACTCTTCCTGTATTCTTCTTTTAATAAATTAAATATCCTGATCCATATTTATTATATATTTTACTGATTATCTCTGCATACTATACTTATTTAAATAAACTAGCTTATTGCTGGTACTTTTTTTAATTACCCTCTTTATTCTTATTTTCTCACTCATCTAAATAATAGTTAAGACTTTTATTATAGCTGATAAAGATACTCTTCCTTAATATATACTGTTTATTTTAAGCCCAGCTCTGAGTTTGTGCATCTCAAAGTCTGTATTATATATAAAATATAATAATACTATTCCCGGGACTGCTAAAAAACTGACTGGAAAAAATATAAATATATATATAATAAGAATACTGGTAAGAAATTTACTAATCTTTTTATTATAGAAAATATGTTCCCCTGTCTCCGAAGCCTTAAAATATATATTTATAAACTTTTTTACTAATTATATAATAAGACTTGGCTATACAATCACCCTAAGAATAATATCTATTAGTTATTCATTAATATATACTGGATACAGATAGAGAATAAATATATCTTTCATGAAAATATAGATCTGGATTATATTTATAACAGTATACCAGATAATTACAAAGAATTTCAGTATTTCTTGTGTCTGACAGAAAACAAATATAAGTTATTATTTTAATAACAATCTCCTGAGAAAGCAAAAATATATATAATATTTAATTTAAGATTAATAAATAATTAGAGCTTACTTACTTATCTAGTAGAAAAAATAGATATTCTAGACTATTATAAGAATTTATTATTTCTAATATAATTATAAATGTTTAGAGAACAGGTATAAAAAATAGAACTAGCTAAACAGTCAAGGACTATAATAATACAGTAGATAATATAATTTGAGAAAAGAAGAAAGTTATTATTTTAAAGAATTATATAGATTATACTATAACTCCTTTTCAGGACTTACTAATTATAAGATTATATTAATGGATGAATATAAATACTTTTATTATAAGAC